CGGGTCGCCCATCGAGGTACAATTGGAGTGCTTCTAGCTGCGCTTGCCGCAGTAAAGGCGGGCGGCCGAGCCTGACAGAAGGCGGAGGATAGCACTGTCCCCAGTACTCCAAGCTTAATCGCAGCTTTGCTACAGTGCGACGATCGACTTGGCAAGCAGCAGAAACCTCGGAATCTTTCTCCACAGCAGCTATATGCTCTACTACAGCTTGCTGCGTGGTGGCGGGTAAACGTTTGCCGTTGACGCGCATCATGGGTTGGTTGCCACGCGGAGTCTCTGCCCCAACAACACCAGAAAACAGTCGCGAGAGTCGCGATAGAGCTTTATGAATAAGTTAAGCGTGTATAGAAGGTTAAGAAAACAGCTGCAATCATCAAAATACACTCAGAATTAGCCTATGGGTGATGCGTTGAAGTTCTAAGAATACCCCTCGCCACTGCACGTGATGTACATGGTATTTCGAAAACCGTTATATCCTCTTCTCTTGCACGCTTAAGTAGCCTTTGAGTCTTGCGCCAACTAGGTGGTTCTGGTGCAGGCTTAAGCCCAGTCGGCTCTGGGGTCGTGCTAGGCGACTTTGGTGTTGTATTTTTGAAACTCTTAAGGACAACGTCGGCATCCAGTGGGTGGATCCCAGTGCACCTAAAGGCCTCTTCTATGAGGTCTTTAGTGAAGGTCTTCTTCCACGCTGCCCAGAAGAGTGGGAAGAAGTCGCTCTGAGCTACAGGCGCCCACCCCTCAGTAGTGTGGCCGCGATGAAGGAGCTCTTCAGAGTAGTGCTGCGCCAACGGCCTGTAGCACGCCACATCAAGCGGCTGAAGCGCGTGAGTAGCATGCGGAGGGAATATAAGTAGCAGAATCTTGTTGGCATGAGCGTACTCAATAAAAGCCTTTGTAACGTGGCTACCGTGACCATCAAGGATCAAGAGTCGGTACTTCCCTCGCGCTCTGACTCTAGTATAGCAATCAAACACCTGCTTAAGCCAGGCAAGTCTAAGGGCATCATTTGTCTAGCTATTTAGTGAGGTACTAAAGTGCACGCAGTCTTTCTTGGCTTTAAATTCCTTTAACTAGCTGTGTTGCACAGTAAGGGAAGATAAAGGGAAAATAACTGCAGGCAGCAACGCAAAACTATTAGCTCCTACTGCTCCTACTACTGTCACCTACTTCCTGTTGCCATTATAAGATGCTAGCTTGAATCTCTAGAGTCTAAAGAGCTTCTTGTCAAAAATTCTAACGCTCTTTCTAATCACTCTAATTATGAAGCCCTTCTTATCCATATTGTACGTGTTCTCTACCTCTATTGCATGCTGCTTTATTGTACTGTGCAGGAGATTAAAATAGAGGCGAAAGGAATTATATAAAGCAGCGTTGTGACGCTGCTTCTCTATAGGCGCTGACCAGGCGGTGAGGAGTTCGTTAGGGTAACGATGAAGGAAGCAAGAAATCTATTAATTGCTTGGCGGCCACCTGCACAGAGGCGTGATTATTCTCACAAGAACCTTTCTTGTAGGCATAAGGTGTCTCTCTGTAAGCAATTTAACGTACTGTACAATCTCTACCTTATTGCGTGGGTGGAGAACTAGCTGGTCTTTTGCCTTGTCTTCACGCAACGCGCATACGCCGCGGTGGCGGCGCGTTAAAGTTAAGCAGCAACAACTATATTTTTTGGCAAGAGCTTGGTACGAAAGTGTATCGTTAGGTCCTAAAGTATCTAGCTCTGCAAGGGCTTCTTCTAGCGGCATCGTGGTGTTGAGTTATGGGGGGTGCAAAGTAGGCGTCAATGTTGGTGGGGTGTGCATTACGCGCCGGTGTGCACTACGAGGCCGTGCACGTTAGAGAATATATCCTGATGTTCTTATCATCCCAGCACTCCCATATGCCTCGTAGCGGATTCACACCTGTTCCGGATATCTCTCTTCTTGCTTGCATCGTTACATGGTAGAGGAGGCGTCGCAGCCTTTAGGTGACTACTGGCACCTACACCACAACGCGCAGTCTTCTGTTTAACTGCAGAAGCTTTTAAGGATGTACAATTGCCTCTTTAGGGCGATTTAAGACCTTTTACTGCGTCGCACGCTTCCTCATCCTTGCGTCTTTGCTCTTTGCGAACATTGATGGCTGCTCGCTCCTTTGTCTTGGCCTGGTCTCTCGCTGCCTTCTCCTTTGCCCGCTGCTCACGCTTTTCTTCTGCTATCTTCTTATTGTAGATTGATTGATTGATTGATTGATTGATTGATTGATTGATTGATTGATTGATTGATTGATTGATTGATTGATTGATTGATTGATTGATTGATTGATTAATTAGTTTAACGTCCTGTGTGAGTCTAAGGCTATATAGGACAAGAGCAGTAAGGCTGCTCTATTAATTTACAAGTTTTTCTGTGTAAGGGAATAGTACATATAGATTTGTAGATATATAGTAAGAGCCTATGCTCTAGTTATAAACAAAGGAAATTAGTTGTCTATTGTCTGCTGTAGGTACTACTTGCGTGTGGCTACTCTAGTCTCTTAAATAAAAGCTAGTATAGCTAAGATTCCCCTATTTGTGTCTAGGAGAAGAGGCATTGTTAGCCTTGTCTCCTGTAGGCTGTTCTTTATTTTCTCTCTTACTTCTCTATAGTTTCTATAGCTAAGTAGTAGGTGTTAAGGTGTTCGTATATATCTACAGCTACATTTAGAGCTTTCTGTTTTTTGTATATTATATAGGTATACTTTATTATATCTATGTCTAAGTTTAAGCTAGTACTAGGCACTTATAATTTCTCTTCTACTATTTTTTACTAGAGTTATTTTGCTTAACGTACTCCACAAGCGAGCTGGCCACCCAAGCGAGCTGGCCACTTTTGCCAAGACTACACCGAACTTCACTCTCCCTGTAATGCCTCAACGCAATAATGTAAAAAAGCCTTTAAATAAAACAGATATACAGCTTGCCCTCTAGGCTATCTAGCAAGACGCGACACTAAGCGTGCAACACGCTGCAGCAATATACTAGGTCTCTTAAAGCACCCTAGGCACGTGCCTTACTAGAACCTCTTCACAACGCAATTGCAAGCCTAACATAATAAGGATAACTAGTACTAAGGAGGAGGTGATTGTCCAGCATGTATTGAAGCTAGACGAGCGAGGATACCCACCCTGGCTTGCTATTGTAGAGAATATAGCCAATTCTCTGCTTGCTGAGCGCCACTAGCCCTATATTAGCAAGAACTAGGCTACCAACTTTGTAAAACGTTAGCTAGAGCTTAAAGTTAAATTTAATTATAAGTATAACTATAAGAGAGCTCTGTGTAAGGATCCTAAGGTAATTAGGGACTAGTTCTAACTAGTAGAGAATACTAAAGCTAAGTATAGTATACAAGATAAAGACACCTATAACTTTAATAAGTCTAGCTTTATAATAGGCGTTATATTAACAGGAGCTGTTGTTATAGGCTCTAAGCGTTGAGGGAGACTGGAGGCAGTGCAGCAGGGCAACTAAGAGTGGACTAGTATTGTAACGGTTGAGAGGAGAAGCGGATCACGTGTTGTTGGCGGTGGTCTGGTGTTACTTCCTCATGTTGTTGAGCACCTCTTACCTTGGCTGCGTTACAAAGACGTCATCAAAACAAACCCCGCAGCGAGCCTTGGAGAACATAGACACAACGACAAGAACAGAACAGAACACAATACACTCATTATATGCATTTTGCTCTTCATACCGCAACAGTTATGAGCCCGGATTGCGACTAGTTAGCTCGCTCACTCACAACAACTAATTAGCACCCACGATTGAGATCACGATTGATCATACTGTGCGGAGCAACTTACAATGACTACTGAGTCAGACCCTGCAGTCACCCAAGTGACAGTTGTCCTCGATCGAGCTGACGACTGGCACAAGTGGCTGTTCATACGAAAAGATACTGCGCAGAAGAACGAGCTCTGGCAGTACGTTGACCCTGCCACGAAGGCAGCGGTCTTGCCTACGTTAATGGCACCAATTGAACCTCAATTGACGGATCACAACAACAATGCTACGTCACTTGCTCATCTTACTGCTGTGCAGCAGAAGCTGTACTAATGGGAGTACAAGCAATGGGAGCGCAAGGACATTAAGTTTAGGCGTTAGAAGAAGGCTCTTGCTAAGTTTAACTCTGAGATTAGCAAGACAATTGCTGCAAAGCACCTTTACTTAATTAAGAGTAAGGACACGCCATACAAGCGGTTGACGACGCTCAAGAAGCATCTTGCACCATCTGACGCATCACGACAACGCGATCTAATTGCACGATACAAATCTCTCTAGACGCCGCCACGCAGCAGGAAGATTGAGGAATGGCTTCGCTCCTGGGTAGAGGTCACCAACATGTGTATCTCTGCAGAGATTCCTGAGACAACAGGATCAAGAGCACAGGAGGACTTCCTTGTTGCATGCAGAACAATTGATCTAGAATACGGCACATCAGGCCTGCGAGCTCTGATCGATCTTGAGGACGCTGGCACTGCTATCCCATCAGTGGAGGACTACGTCAGCAAGTTCACCACTTACCTCAAGCGTGTGCTACCGCTGTCGACAGGACTCAGCTCAATGGCTGCGGAGCTCGATGTTGCAAAGCCTCAGCAGCAGAACAAGGATGGTTACAGGATCAAGCTGCAACACAAGCCGCAATGCCCATGTGGCCTACAGCACTACTGGGTTGACTGCTGGTTGATCAACACAGAGCATCCACGAAGACCTAAGGCCTTTGCCAACGCAATTGGCCAAAAGAAGCTTGATGCCGCCCTGGCCGCTGACAACGACTTGAGAGACAAGCTCAACAAGGCGCTCAATAAGTGGCGCGCAAAACAGCAAGAGAATAGAGGGAGTATTGCTATAGACGACGGCAACTGTCCCACTAGACATACAGCTAACACTGTACGATATATAAATTACAAGCAAGAGCTATATGCTTAGAATAACAAGCAAGTTAATATAAAAGCTTGCAACAACATGAAAAAGAAAGACAACCTCTACACAGCAGTGAGCATGGAAGAGGATATTGGCAAGCTCAGCAACCAATAGATCCTTGACCCTGGCTCTAACACTCATGTAATTAACACTAAGAACTAGAAGGGATGGACAAGAGAGTACAACGCAGCTGCTACTGACTTTGTTAGAGCTAGAACAGGACATGTTCAGATAACAGCCTGGGGAAGCATGGAGCTTATGGCAAATACACCAACAGGTGTACAACCACTAAAGCTCACTCACGTTGCTTACGTCCAAGGCTTTGTCACAAGCCTGATTGGCTTGGCGCGCTGCAGGAAGCTTAATATACACTTTGATTTAGGACGTGATCTCCTGTACAAGGGCAATCCAGGATCAGTTCTTGCCTACTTGGAGCACGATGGAGGGCACTGGCTGGTGGACGCTGATGCCTCACGTCGTCCAAGCCAGACTTTGCTGTCGTCTTTTAGCACAACCTACTGACCTTCAAAGGCTCCACGCCTTGATTAAACAGTTAATGCTAGGACAGCCTATCAGATGTGGGGTTATCCTAGCAAGAAAGCAATTAAAAAGCTTACCTTAAATATTAATAGAGTTGTTGTAGAAGGCAATAATAATAAATTCTGTACTGTCTATACAGAGTTAAAGTTAACAAAGCAGATATCTTAAAGATAATAGGAAGACTAAGCTTAGAGGCCCTTCTATTAAATCTCTGTTAACATTATCTAATTAATACCTTAAGGAGAAGCCTGCTTAAATAGCAATTAATAGGCTAGACACTCTATTAATTAATACTTAAAATAGCACAAAGTGTTAACCTTCCTACAGCAATTAAAACTATTCCTAAGTTAATAGTTAGTTTAAGACGTATGCAGCATATAGCAAGTGTTTAACTGCAATGTAACAGCTGTTAAGACAGACAACGACCGTGGATATGGCACATCACCAAACTTCCTACAGGAACTCTGCAAAGACCTTGGTATTCAATACGAGCCACGAGCCGAGTATACCGAGGAGCAGAATGGACTGGCAGAGCGAGCGGGATCGCTCCTTGTCATCCGAGCTAGAGCCATGAGGATCCAAGCAGGACTGCCAAAGTCTTTGGCTCATGAGCTGATTCGAACAGCAGCATACGTCCTCAACCAGACACCAACTCAAGCGCTGCAGTGGAAGACACCGTACGAGATTGTATGGAAGACGAAACCAAAGGTTCAACACATGCGTCCAATTGGATGTCGAGCCTACGTACTCAACCGCTCGCTAAAGCGCGCGGACAAGCTCAAATTGAGAGCACTGATTAGCCACCTTGTTAGCTACGACTCAACCAACATCTTTAGGATCTGGCTTCCTACTAAGGACCAGGTTATACACACACGAGATATTGTCTTTAAACCTACAAAGTTCTACAAAGGACTACAAGGATACGCTCACGAATTAGTAATTGTAGAAGTTGTTAAGCTTCTAGCATTTCCTAAGGAGCTTAAGCCTAACAATATAGTAATAGAAGATCTTTTAATGACTTAACAACGCCGTCAACAGCAGCCTGCTCACACATCTGCGCTCACGGAGCCTCAGATAGGGGGTGAAGTAACAGAACAGAATAAGGAGCAGAACAATAGAGGATTGCTGACTCTAGAAACTTTAATCTATAATTAACAAGACAGACAAACTAATTCTCTGTCCTTAGAATTAGAACAAGAGCAATATGCTCTTAATAAGCAATTAGCTCACGAACAGCAACCACACGAATCGCGAAATAAAGACCTTTCTGCAACCTAGCTTGAAGGCTATATACCTGATTAACATGAGAACAACGCTCCAAGACGTCAAAACCTTAATCTCAGCACAGACAACGTCATTAAAGGCCCGCGGCGTACAAGACGAAATGCTGATCTCCAGGCACCAGAGCGATGGCACTCTCACGCTGTCTCATACAGAGCATCAGTCAACGACTACCTTAAGGCTTTCTCAACTGCCTTGAAGGTTGAGCTAACTACAAAAATACATCGTTCGCAAGTGCCAAGAGCTCTGCGATCATATTCAGAGCTCGAATCTCATCTGTTTGGAGAGTAATTTCGACAAGCTGCTTAGAAAGAGTATTACGAGATCTGGGGCAAAGGCTGCTTTGCCAAGACAACACAGACAGCAGAGACTGCTGATGCAGAGGTGTTACCCCTGATGTGGGTATTCACATACAAGTTCGATGAGGACAGTTACCTCTATTGATTCAAGGCACGACTTGTCGTCCGTGGCGACCTACAACAGCCATACAGAGACACCTACGCTGCTACACTAGCTGCTCAAACATTTCGAGCACTTATCGCAATAGCCAATCAATTCGGATTAGAGCTACTTCAGTACGACGTACTGAACGCGTTTCTCAACGCTACACTCAATCGAAAGCTCTACGCTCAGACACCTGATGGGTTCAAGAGAGATGGAGAGCTTCTACAGGTACTGAGAGCCCTGTACGGACTGAAGGAATCACCACTGCTATGGTACAAGGACCTGAGAGAGACGCTGAAGTCTCTGGGCATAACGCCTATACCAGGGTTTCCATGCGTCTACGTCAACAGCTAGTTGATCATGTTCGTCTACGTTGACGATATCGTCATAGCTTTCCACCTATCTAACAAACATCTACACTAAGAGTTTAAGAGGAAGCTTAATAAGCACTATAGCCTAAAATGCCTTAGAGAACTTAAGTAGTTCTTAGGCATACACGTTGTTCAAGATCTTAGCGCACACACAATTTACTTAGTTTAGGACACTTACATTAACAAGGTTGCTGCTAAGTACAACATTATCTCTACTAGCCGCCCTTTAGAGGTGCCTATGCTAGTAAATTACCTAGAACAATCTCTTAAGGAACCAAACAAAGCTTAGAAGAAGACCTATCAAGAGCTTGTAGGCTACCTTGCCTACCTCACGCAGTATACCCGACCTGATCTGGCTCGCGCTCACGTTATCCACGCTTCACATTTGACCAACCCTGGCCAAGCACACGTCGAATCTATTCGAAGGGTGTGGCGTCACATTCTGGAGACAAAGTATCGAGCCCTGCAGGCTCAAGCCACTGACGAGGCAGAGATACAAGAGCACCTCACTTCGCCACAGGACTATCGCGATCCTATCTTCTTTGGAGCATCTGATGCCTCCTTTGCTGACGACGTTGAGACGCGCCGAAGCTCTCAAGGATACGTATTTCAGCTGTTTGGTATGACTGTTGACTGGAAGTCAACACTTCAACGCACTGTTATAAAATCAACAACAGAAGCAGAGCTGCTTGCTCTCTCACTTGCTAGATTAGAGATAGAGGAGTGGTGCTGCTTGTTTAAAGGACTGTCTTTAAAGCTTAACTAGACGCCTATTATTTAGTGTAACAACTAACAGACTGTGGGCATAGTTACAAAGGAGCAGGACAAGCTTAGTACTAAGCTTAAACACGTTAATATTTATCAGAACTAGATCTGCCAGGAGGTTAAGCAGAATTAACTCTACATCCACTAGAGGCCTACAAGCCAGATGCCTGCTAACAGCATGACGAAGATTCTTCCTTATTAGAAGCATATCAAATTTATACAGCAACTATAGCTTATAGACATTCACTTAAAGGTTTGTAAGATAGAGAATAATAGCTAAGGGGTTCATCCTTCTGTTGCAAAGTGACTACAGGATAAGGGGGTGTGTAATAGTTAAGAGGAGAAGCAGATTACGTGTTGTTAGTGGTAGTCTAGTGTTACTTCCTCATGTTGTTGAGCACCTCTTACCTTGGCTGCGTTACAAAGACGTCATCAAAACAAACCCCGCAGCGAGCCTTGGAGAACATAGACACAACGACAAGAACAGAACAGAACACAATACACTCATTATATGCATTTTGCTCTTCATACCGCAACAAGTATTATATAAGGCATCTGCGCAAAGGGCTGGTCTATCCTACCCTTTATTATCTTCTCTAGTAAGCACTACCTCTCTGCCTAGTATAAGGAGCCTAGTATACCTAATAACTAGGCTCTTAATGTCTCTAACAACTGCTAGACTAATAATAAGCTTAGAATTAAGTAGTTAAAGCACTTTATTAAGCACACAAAGGCGCGCACTATTAGCAGCTATTAGCTGCTTATTCTAGACAGCTACAAGAGCCACAACTTAGTTAAATTCTACTAGTACTACAAGGAACACAAGATTATTACCCTGTGTATGCCTCCACACTTGTTGCACCTACTGCAGCCACTTAACATAGGCTGTTTTGCCCTGTTAAAGAAGGCCTATAGCCGCCAAGCCAAGTGGCTGATGCGCAGCAAGATTACTTGCATCACTAAACTTGAGTTCTTGCTGTGCTTTAAAGCAGCTTTTAATGCCTCAATCACAGAGAGCAACATCTAGGGAGGATTTAGAGGTGCTGGCCTAGTCCTACTTAACCTAGAGGCTGTGCTATTAAAGCTTAAAGTACAGCTGCGCACACTAACACCACCTACTATAGACAATAGTACGTAGGAGTCTAAAACACTAAGTAACACCCTAGAATTTAGGTCTTAATTAAAGCTAATTTAAGAGAGGATTTAGAGATACGCTAATAGCTTGCTAATGTCTATAGTTAACACTCTTAATTAGCTTACTAAAGGCACAGAGCTAATAGCGCATTTACTAGTTTTAGTGCGCAACTAGGTTGCTAACCTACAGGCAGCTAACAAGGCTGCCACACGTTGTAAATCACACAAAAGGAAGCAATTACAGCAAGAGAGGACTCTAGTCTTTGCTAAGGAAGTGCAGCTAACTACTCTAAAGGAGTTTAAGGCCTGTAGTGATAGGAAGAGGGCAAAGAAGAGGTTGCGTGTTAATAGGAGCACTTAGTCTCTAAGGCGCTGTAGCACATGTAGCAAGACAGGGCACAACACGTAAATACGTAGTAAAGATACACAGAGTACTATAGACTAGTTTAGTATACTGTGTAGTATAATATATTATAGTTGTGTGCTGTAATGTTCTAAAGTAGGTGCAGTATTGGTGTGGTCTTGGCAAAAGTGGCCAGCTCGCTTGGGTGGCCAGCTCGCTTGTGGAGTACGTTACTAAAAATAGAGAACAGCATATCTTAAGAACAAGAGGAGATACAGGCTTTGTAAGCACACTATTCTAATCCTCTCTTCTAGAAGATTACAATTACAATGCTTAGGTAAGTATAGCGCTATACCTAAGAAGGAAATACGCTAGAGAAAGATTATAAGAACAAAGTCTTATTGTGACGACGCAGGCAAGAAGACAGATATCCGGAATAGGTGTGAATCCGCTACGAGGCATATAGGAGTGCTAGGATAATAAGAACACCAGGATATATTCTCTACACCTATAGGTCTTGTATAAAAGGATATAGAAAAACTACTTTATAATGCTACAGTTCCTTGCTCCTTATATATAAGGGTTTAGTAGCAGTTTAGTGTAAGCTTATGCTATGCAACAAGGGCCATGGTCATAAGTCGCTGGAACCGTATCCTAGTGGTATTAGGTCACTGTTCGTAGAGCGTTATTAGACTTATAACTTTACACATACAAAGAGTAAGGATCTTATTCTCTAGGCAGTAGTCCTTAAAATCCTAGTTAAGGTGGCTCTTATAGCTGTCTAAGATAAGTAGCCTGTAGCCCCCCTACCTAAAGCGCTCTTATATGCGTGTTAAAATGCTTTAACTACTTAGGACTAAGCATATTATTTGTCTAGCTGTTCTTAGAGATAGAGAGCTTCTAATTATGCAGTATATCTGTCTCCTTGTACTAGGCAGAGATGTAGATGTGTCCTTTGTAGATAATAAAAGGCAGGGTCGCATATCTAGCAGCGTAGATGCTCTGTATAAATGTAACCTACTCCTAATTGCCTAGCTGAATAAGCTTAGGTTAAGCACGTCTCTTAGCGCCTGTGACAACCTTCATTAACTCTATCACGCCTATCTAGAACCTAGTCTTATTAAAGTTATGCACGTTGTTGTTGTGGATGCTATACTTAGCCTTAGTACCCTCTACTAGCATAAACCACGCGTTAATTACCTTAGGATCTTCCTGTAGTATCCTCTATCTGTCCTTTGCTTACAAAGCCTTGTTGACCAGGCTGTTGCATCAACATGACGAGCACATCCTCCTCATATACCAATGTGGGCCCATGAACAACTCCACTCCATTCATTGGCTGACTGCGGGGTTGGCTGGTTGGGCTCCACCGGGGACCAATGGGCCGGCCCGTTGCAGCACTAGCTGTCGTTAGCCGTCGCTGACTCGTGGGTACCTGACTCCGCCGATTATCCCCATCTTGCACAAAACGAAGCCTCAGTGTCGCTTACCTTTGTGCGCGTCACGAGTGTTTCTTGGCAGGCCTCTGCATTGAGGACATGAGACTTGACAGGCGATCATTGGGATGGACTCAAAGGGAGACGGAAACATTCCATTGATTTGACCATGGCACGACATGTCTGATTCGGATCCAGAAGACGAGGCTATCCAACAACGGTGGTAAGGATGCTTCGCTTGTGACACTGTGGCTCAACAACATCTGATTGCGAGTACCGTGGTCCACCACCGAGCGGATCACCCCACCGAGCGAATCACCAAATGCAACTATATATCTTTGAACGTGAATAACTCAACACAACAGCAAGATATAATAGTGCGTAATAGCTTAAATTAATCGCCTATCTCTACTTTATCTTTCTTGCATGTACGCTTGTTGTGTCCTGTGTTGCCACACCTCCTGCAGCGCAGAATACCCCTGCTGCTAGCACCTGTGACCTGCCTGCACTCTCCCCTCACGCCTCTCTACTTCAAGTTGAACCTCAGCATCCTTTTAGGTAACTATTACCCCTGCTTCTACCTGTAATAGAGTCCCCCCCTTCTGTATTTGCTTCTTCTTACGCTTTTTACGCTTAGAAGCAGCCTAATTTGCTTACTTAAGACTATCTATCTAAGCTTTAAGCAACGTGTGTGAGTGTACCTTTAAAGTTAACCCCTTTTTAACCTACAGCACTATCTTAAGAATAGACTTAGGTAAGGAACTCCTATAGTCCCTTATCCTCTTAAGAATTAGTGTTATTTAAGCCTCTATTTCCTAGGCGTTGCTTAGTGTTTTAGGCTGCTAAGGGGTACTCCTAGGTAAAGGTAGTATTAGTGTTAGAGGCTTCACTTTAAGTCTTAATAGCACTACCTCTAGGTTATCTAGAACTAAGCTAGTTGCTCTAAAGCTTAATAGGATATTGTCCTTTAAGAAGGCCTAGTTAAATACTAGGGTAAGTGCAGCTAGGAAGGCTTTCTTGTTAATGTAGTTAATATAGCAGTTTACTAAGACTTAGATCTCCTCCTTGTACGCACGCTTTAGGGGGGCAAAGCAACCTACATTAAGTGGCTAAAGGATGTGTGAGGTGTAAGGGGGTATATAGAGGGTAATAATATTGTTCTCCTTACAAAGATCCTAGAAGGTAAGTAACTTGTAGCTCTTATAGCTATTAAGAATTAGTAGTCTATAACTACCTACTTTCTTAAACTCTGTGTGCTTAATAAAGTGCTGTAGCTAGGCAAGCCTAAGCTTATTTGTTGTCTATCTATTATTACTAACCCCTATTCTCTAATCCTAAGGGTTATAATACTAGGCCTAGTTATAGTTCTTAGCTTTAAAGATAATAAAGGGTAGGATAACCTATCCTGTGGCGTTAATAGCAGCAATTAACGTCACCTACTCCCTGTCACTAGGCTAAACCCTAAGTAGCTTAAGGCGCCTCTTAGAGGCTGTGACTACCTTTACAGACCCCCTAACGCCTATCTAGAAGCTAGTCTTATTAAAGTTGTACGTGTCTTAATCTAGGATACTATACTTAGCTTTGACGTTGCGTACAAGGTTAAACTAGGGGCTAATAATAGCTAGATTACTGCAGAGGACTTGCTGGTGATCACAGAGTCGAGTCACCTGAGATTTGACCTCAGGCTGGCGTTGGATCAGCCTATAGGCCCAGTTCTCCCCAACCTGGCCACCACTACGCTTAGCTAGTAGCTGGTCAGCCATTCCACGTACGTGGCTAAGCGTAGGGGCAAAGCCTCTAGCGTCAAGCTTCCTTATATATTGTATAACTGCCTCCTCTTCATGCTTCTGAAGCTTAGATGAGTTGGGGTAGGTATTGCGTCGTGGGGTTCTTCCAGCGCCTTGATGGCTAAGTGTACTTTGAGGAACCTTGTAGATAGCAGCAGCGCGTCGCTGGCTTAGTGACGCGTTAGATTTCATTGCTTGGGTAGCAAGTATAACTCTATCTGCACAGGAAAGTAATTCAAGATTAACTAGTTAAGCCATTGTAATTGATAGTAGAAAGCGTTGTGGTCTTGGCAGAGTGATTCGCTCGGTGGGGTGATCCGCTCGGTGGTGGACCACGTTAGCAGAGATGACCAAAAGAACATTGGGCATTTCTCGATTGTCAGTATTTCTGAACTAGTTGAATTTTGCAGTGCGAAAAGGCAGTATTCGCCATTCATTTCACCGGCATAATTCATTGACAGATTGCGTTGTCAGTGCTTGTCCGCCGCCTCTTGTTCAACGACCACTCCTCATCTGCTCTCTTGCGCTTGCGGTGGTCGGACTGACCAAATGCCGCGTTGAGCCCCTGCGCGGCGACGAGCTTTCGCACAGAGAATAGCGAGCTGCTGATGTTGCTGTCAGCTTCCTTGTCTCCCAGCTGCAGGGTGATGGCGAACTTGTCCTTTGTCTCTACATTGAGTGGTAGGCAGAAGTTGCTATGTAACGGTTGAGAGGAGAAGGAGATCACTTGTTGTTGGCGGTGGTCTGGTGCTGCTTCCTCATGTTGATGAGAACCTCTTACCTCAGCTACATCACAAACACGTCATCAAAACAGACCCCGCAGCGAGCCTTGGAGAGCAAAGATACGAGCAGAACAAGAACACAGAACAACACAATACACTTGTTTATACATTTGCCCTTGATACCGCAACATTATAGCTTTAGTGTGAGAAGTTTTGTTACATAGTTTTTATTTGAGAAGTTATACACTTTATCGAAGATTACTAAAAAGGGCTGTTTTATTAAGGAAGTCTGCGCATCACGCGCACGAACACGGTAACCGTCCACTTTGTGGTTACACACGTGTGGCACCCAAACGTCGATGTGGCTACCGAACCTCGCCTGTGTAAATACTCACAGAATCGCCGAAATGCTAAACAAAATGCGCCATAATACACTGACATGTTGTGAGCCTTATCAAAGCCACTAGATCTGCTTGCCGGCGTGGACCACTGTTGGACCATTGGCCACCTTGGCACCCTCTTGCTTCTTGCGGATACGTTCCTCAATCTTCTCAACCCTAGCCTTGAGACCCGTGTGCTCCTTGAGAAGAGCCTCGAGCTCAGCAAACTGCTGTGCAGCGTTACGTGTGCGGAGGTTGGCCAAGTTGTTGGCGAGGCAATCGTAGAGAGGATCATTCTCTGGGTAGGCAAATGCGACGATCTTGTTCAGAAACTCGTAAGAAGCGGTGTTGGAGCGAATACGATCGCAGAAGATCTTGGTGAAGTGGCCAACATACATGTTGTTGAGACCGAGGACACGAGAGGCACGGCAGATCTGGAGATTCTTGTCGTCGAACTTCTCATCAGAGTGTAGGTTGATGGAGTATACACGACCCTGATAGGTCATCTCCTTCATCCAATCCAAGTGCGCCTTTGCAGCAACTTCGTCCATTGATCTCGCTGGTAGAACGAAAGTGGTTGCGTCTGGGTAATCCGTGAAGTGCTTGAAGGCCTTGTGCGAGCACTGCATCACCACGTACTTTGGCAGAGTGGCAAGGTTCGTGTCACCCATCTTGACCTGGACCTTGGAACCATTGGCAAACAGAGCACGCTCCTCACGGCGCTTTGTGCGAATGTCTGAGGTGGGGTCAATCGCAGGTGCTGGACTATTCTTAGTAGCCTCTTCTGACGTAGCCTTTACCTTCTTCTTAGGCGCGACTGTCTTCCCCGCTGGCTTCTTCGCAAACTTCGACATGTCGACAGGCATCTTCAGCTTGGGCGCCGGAGGTGGTGGAGCCGTGTGCTTGACCGTAGTCAGGGTTGCGAAGACTGGGAACGCGGAGAGGTTCACGGCCGGGCCAGCTGCCTTGGTGGCAGGAGTTGTCTTTGAAGAGGGGCTGACTGAGGTGTCGGTGTCGGTAGAGGCTGCCTTTGTGATTGTCTGCGCCGCAGTCTGGGCGTACCTGGTCGCCTCGGTCGCCTCGGTCGCCTCGGTCGCCTCGTGCAGAGCCTCGAGTTTCACTGCTGGTGTTCGTGAAGGGGCAACCGCCTCCGCATCTGATAGTGGATCGTGCGAAGAGACTTGTGTCGAGCTGCCGACCGCATCCAACTGAGCAATCATGGCGCATTGCTCGTCTACCTCAGTCTCCAGAGCTGCGATACGGCGGTCCCTCTCATCGACCTCAGCGACCAACTTTTGGACATGAAGGAATTGCTTGTGGTTCTCCTGGTCCAGCCCCGCGATCTTATTGGCGGATGCGTCAGCGATAGACTGGATACTGGCGAGGCGCTGCGTCTGTACGTTGAAGGCGGACTCCATTCTGGTCATGTGAGCGTCCTTCTCTCGTACCGCAGTCGCGAGATCGGTGATGCGAGCATCCTTGGCGGCAACAACGTTCTCAAGCTCCTTCACTCGGCTGGGCAAGGCGAACGACATCAATAAGTCATCTTCGCCATCGGTGTCGGCCAATTTACTCTTCTTGACACCGTTTGTGGTGGCGCGTGGGGTTTCGTCGGTCGAGAGTCCTGAATGGGGAGGAGACAGCCTGCACTTCAGGACCGTGCAATCATTCGGTGTGGCGCTCGTGATTGCCGGCTCAGCGACGGACACTGGGACTTGTGTTGACTTGTTGTCTGTAGACTTTGCAGCCCAGCAGGTGGTGGGGTTGCTCATCGCTAATCTGTATCGGGGTTGTAGTGGTGAGAGAGGAGAAGTTTGGGGAAAGTGCGAAGATGGTCGATGGAAAGTGCGCGGTACTAGTCTAAAGCTGTTGTGTGTTGTAAGAAGGTGCAGACTGCTCACGGTTGAGATGCGAATGCGTACTGGTAAGGGGGAGGAGTCGAGGATTCGCGCACGAGGTTTTTGAGGGTCGAGGGCCCTTCTAGAGCCCGAGTGTGCGGCACTGGGGTGAAGGCAGGTGAAAGCTCTCTTCAAAGGTGAGAGTGCACGCACAGTGCATTTTAGCTCTCTCAATCCTGCGCAAGGAGTGAATCGCTCGATTGGTACATAATCTATGAGCAGACTCGAAACATCACAGACAAATTACAAAGCTTAGAACATCACGGCATGAAGCCACATTCGTGCACGCGTAGATGAACGGGTATGAGACTAGCATAGAAATGGATCTGGGCGACCGGCAAGTAGGCCAGCGTAACAAGGGCTACAACGCCCGTGACATAGAAGCATGAAAAAGACCAGTAATTCACACATTCAACATTTGAACGTGTTGCTTTGCCGGGTAAATGGAAGTTTTGGCGCTGGCGTCTTGTCGTGGATGCGCTTTCTATTCCAGCAACAAGCAAGTTCAGATGCCAATGCTTGCTGTCCCACTAGTCATGATATAGATTCGAGATCTGCAGGAGCCCTCATCTTGCCGAAGTTTTCCATATGCGAAGATCGCCCACCGCATTCCCGATGTCAAAGCACGCCATCGAGGCGCTTTCACTTTCACTTCGATCGCGTCCCAGATCTACTTGTAAGTCTCTTCGACGAAAAAGAAACCGCGCAAGGTGACGAACGTCTGTCTCGAGACGATGAAGCGCGGCTTGAACCAGCAGCTCACAATCTTGGAAGGCCAAGTACTGGGCATCAGCATTCTCAAGGTTGAATGTAACGAACGAGTTGACTCGCCTTCAAGAAGCTTCTGAATGACGAAAATCAAGCAGTAAGCGACCACCAGCTCGCCATCAAGCTAGCCGAAATGCCGATCAGCGCCGCGGATGCCGCCTTCGGTGCGGATTACGAAGCTCAGCTCGACAAGGCAGACGACTGCGAGCACTACACGCAATGAGATATGGGTAAAGAGCTGTATGCTTCTGCGTTTGATAGAATCAATGTCCACCCCGCTCTCGAAAAAGGACCTGCTCAGGCCGTAGTCGCCAATCGCGCGCCTCTCCACAACGCTCGCATTGTCGAAGCAAAGCAGGTACAACATGGGGCACTAGGTTCGGAGGGCATAGTCAAGTGCAATGCTGATATGGATATTGCTCCAACAAAGATCACGCTTCTCCTACAACACGACCACATATATTGCCGCACTTGTCTCCTGGATCTCTTCACCTGCGCAATCTCGAGCCCGACATCGTTCCCACCGCGGTGCTGCAAGCTGTTTGTCACTCTGAAGATTTGCCTCGTTTTGCTGCCGACAGAGATCATCAAGGGTTTCGATCTCAAGGTCGAGGAGCTGACTACGGTCAACCCCATCCACTGCGCTGATGCGGAATGTTCCAAATTCATTTGACCGAAGGATATCGAGAACGACATTGGTGCCTGCCTGTTCTGCAAGAGCACGACTTGCGTGTAGTATAAGAACCAAGGAGTCATACCGGTCTGTGGCCCAGCGATACGCATGTACAAGTTCTTGTGGATGCCGCAAAGCGCAGAAAATGGCAGCAGCGCACAAAGTGCAACAACATGGTGAAGCTGGCTCAATATTTCTTCCATATGATGTGCGTATCACGATCATTGGAATGATCAAGCCTGACGTTTATAGCTGCCGATGAAAGCACGAGTTCTGCTACCTCTGCGGCGTGCAGTGGAAGCGCTCGCTGTTCCTGCTCCCAGTGGGACAAAGACTACCTCACCCGTCCGACTTCAGTTGCAGTTGCTGCACTACCAGTGCAGCCTGTTCCCTACCGAACCACACTAGCTGCTCGTCGCGATCACGATTGGCGGCAAGAGAATTGAGTGGCTTGTCAGGACTGCGGTACAGACTGACTTCCATTGTGATTGCGGCTTTGAGAGCTGCTAGCGCTGCATGCACAACCGAGATTGAAGTACAGACTTATCCTACTGTCTGTGTACCGTTCTCTCGAACTCCGCACTGTTTTCGATTTTTTATCTGAATTTGATTCATCATGCAAGATTTAAGAAGGATTGAGCAATTGGTGCGTTTTCCTGTCGATCGTTTCCCAAGCCCAAGATCTTTGTTACAAGCTTAGAGCGTTGTAGAAGACTAAAAATATTATAGCAGGGTGACTAAGGGTAGACTAGCATTATCTAGGGTATTAACATGTTAGGATAGAGTATCCTACCCTTTATTATCTTCTAAGGCAAGCACTACCTCTCTGCCTAGTATAAGGAGCTGTCTTTACCTTACAACTAGGTTATTACTATCTTTAAGAACAGCTAGACTAATAACAAGCTTGTTGTTAAGTAGGTAAAGCACTTTAATAAGCATACAAAGGAGCGCACTGTTAGTATCTATTAGCTGCTTATTCTAGACAGCTATAAGAGCCACAATTTAGTTAAGTTCTACTAGTACTATAAAGAATATAAGATTATTACCTTGTATATGCCTCTACACTTATTACACCTGTTGCAGCTGCTTAACGTAGGTTGTTTTGCCCTAATAAAGAAGGCCTATAGTTGCTAAGCTAAGCTGCTAATGCGCAACAAGATTACTTGCATTACAAAACTTAAGTTTTTACTATGCTTTAAAGGAGCTTTTAATGCCTCTATTACTAGGAGCAATATCTAGGGTAGATTTAGAGGTGCTAGCTTAGTCCTCTTTAATCTAGAGGCTATAATATTAAAGCTTAAAGTGCGCCTATATACTCCACTCCTACCTACTATAGATAAGAGTACGTGGCACTCTTAAACCCTACAGAACACCCTAGATTTTAGGTTGTAATTAAAGCTTATTTTAGAGAGGATTTAATAATATAGCAATAGCTCTCTAACTTTAATAGTTAATGCTCTTAATTAGCTCACTAAGGGCGTAGAGATAATGGCGCATTTACTAGATTTAGTGCGCAACTAGGTTGCAGAGCTTTAAGCTGCTAAAGAGGCTGCCACACGCTGTAAATCACACAAGAGGAAGTAGATCTAGAGGGAGGGGACTCTTACTATTAGTAAAGGAGTGCGCTTAACTACCCTAAAGGAGTTTAAAGCCTGTAGTAATAGGAAGAAGGTAAGCAAGAAGAGGCGTGTTAAACTAGGCACTTAGTCTTTACAACGCTATAGCAGGTGTAGTAAGGCAGGGCATAACGCCCAAACGTGCATAAAAGATGCACAAGATACTGTAGATTAGTGCTGTATACTGCAAGTTATAGTACTTGCTGTAATATGCAAGAGAAGTTGAAGTTTGATGTGGTCTTGGCAAAATCCGGTCACTCGCCCGGGCCGGCCACTCGCCCGTGAGGTACGTTATTACATTTATTAACAAGTTTAAGGCAGGACTTGCCAAGTTTACTTAGATAAAGGACTGCAAGCTCTCTAACAGACAAGCCATCTATTAGTTCATCCTCGCCATTAACACGTTGTACCCAGACTACGCCTAACAGCGCCAGGCTGATCTGCACAACAACCACCTCCTAGATATCACCAAGATGTGTGCTAAGTTGCTTAATGAGGCTTGTCGCAACAATCCCATCAAGGCAGCTTACTCCTCAGCCAAGCACTATTCTAGGGGTGACAACAACAACAACAACAACAACAATACGCGTGGCCGCAGCGGCTCTTGCGGCAGACTTAGCTGTGGCAATTGTTGTAGTAGTCTGGCCAAAGGACAATAAAGGATATCTACTTCCTAACAACTTTTGCTAAAAAGCATGCACAAGTTAACTAGACATCTAGTTAACTGCGTAGATAATATATATCTAGCTTAAGCCAAGCCGGCTAAGCTAATGTAACCGGCTAGCTAGGCTGGCGGATGGGTAGGGTAGGGTAGGGTATAGGTATAGTCACGTGATTTATGGGTAGGAACTAGGTAGGGTACATGAGGTACCCTACCCAAACGGTTTGGGTAGGGTAGCACGTGACTGGGTATAGGTATAGGTAGGGTAGCACGTGACTAGGTATAGGTATAGGTAGGGTAGCTAGGTAGGGTCTA